GCGGGTGGTTGGACAGGGTTTATAATATGTTCTTCTCTAGAGTGGGACTCGTGAGTAACCGATAGAAACTAGACTGTAAAAACAAAAACACTAATCGTAACTTTTTTGCTGTACTATTTGTTATAAGATTTATTTCTTATTTCATAAAAAAAAATTAGAGGGCGGGTGGGTGGGCGGGGCTAAGTTTAACTTATGCCAAGAGAGTCCTTTACAGGCAAGCAGTAGGCCCGCCCACCCACCCTCTCTTCCTTCTGGTGACCACTTTTCTTACTGTTAGTTATTGACAATACTGTTATCTTATTAGAATCTTCGACAAATCTGTTAAACCGTTGGTGACAAAATAGACATTTTTTTTTTATTTTAAAATCAAACTGGAGGCGGGTGGGTTGGCGGGGTTCATAATATCTTCTTCTCTAGAGTGGGACTCGTAAGTAACCGATAGAAACTAGGCTGTAAAAAAAAAACACTAATCGTAACTTTTTTGCTATACTATTTGTTATAAGATTTATTTCTTATTTCATAAAAAAAATCAGAGGACGGGAGGGTGGGCGGGGCTAAGTTTAACTTATGCCAAGAGAGTCCTTTACAGGCAAGCAGTGGGCCCGCCCACCCACCCCCTCTTACTTCTGGTGACCACTCTTGTTACTGTTAGTTATTGACAATACTATTGTCTTATTAGAATCTTCGACAAACCTGTTAAAGCATTGGTGAGAAAATAGACATTTTGTTATTTTTCTTCTATAAATTTATTATATCTACACCTTATATTTCAATGGTTTTTTTCTGCTCTTATAGTGATAGACATGTTTTATTCCCCATATTACATATAGGTACAACAGACGTAAAAGGCTTGTCACATTAAAAAAAAAAAAAGAAAAAACAAAAAACAGAATGTGTAATAAGGAAAATATAAAAACACAAGTGTAAATATTCTAAACCAACCAAAATTTTGGACAGTTTGTCATTAATTTTTAAAATCTTTAAATTTAAACTGTTCATTTTTTTTAAACAATAAGTTTCGTTTTCTTTCTGCTGTAATAAATTTTAGGAGTACTTATTTTTTATAAAATTACCACCGAAATGGAGGCGGGTGGGTGGGCGGGGTTTATAATATGTTCTTTTCTATAGTGGGACTCGTAAGTAACCGATAGAAACTAGGCTGTAAAAAAAAACACTAATCGTAACTTTCTTGCTGTACTAATTGTTATAAGATTTATTTCTTATTTCATAAAAAAAAATTAGAGGACGGGTGGGTGGGCGGGGCTATCTTTAACTTATGCCAAGAGAGTCCTTTACAGGCAAGCTGTAGGCCCGCCCACCCACCCCATCTTCCTTCTGGTGACCACTCTTGTTACTGTTAGTTATTGACAATAATATTATCTTATTAGAATCTTCGACAAATCTGTTAAACCGTTGGTAAGAAAATAGACATTTTATTTTTATTTTAAAACCGAACTGGAGACGGGTGGTTGGGCGGGGTTTATAATATGTTCTTCTCTAGACTGGGACTCGTGAGTAACCGATAGAAACTAGACTGTAAAAAAACACTAATCGTAACTTTTTTGCTGTACTATTTGTTATAAGATTTATTTCTTATTTCATAAAAAAAATTAGAGGACGGGTGGGTGGGCGGGGCTAAGTTTAACTTATGCCAAGAGAGTCCTTTACAGGCAAGCAGTAGGCCCGCCCACCCACCTCCTCTTCCTTCTAGAGACCACTCTTGTAACTGTTAGTTATTGACAATACTATTATCTTATTAGAATCTTCGACAAATCTGTTAAACCGTTGGTGAGAAAATAGACATTTTATTTTTATTTTAAAACCGAAGTGGAGGCGGGTGGGTGGGCGGGGTTTATAATATGTTCTTCTCTAGAGTGGGACTCGTATGTAACCGATAGAAACTAGGCTGTAAAAAAAACGCTAATCGTAACTTTTTTGCGGTACTATTTGTTATAAGATTTAGTTCTTATTTCACAAAAAAAAAATTAGAGGATGGGTGGGCGGGCGGGGCTAAGTTTAACTTTTTCCAAGAGAGTCTTTTACAGGCAATCAGTAGGCCCGCCCACCCACCCCCTCTTCCTTCTGGTCACCACTCTAAATACTGTTAATTATCGACAATACTATTTTCTTATTAGAAATTTCGGCAAATCTGTTGAACCGTTGGTGAGAAAATTAGATATTCTGTTATTTTTCTTGTATAAATTACTCGATCTACACCTTATATTTCAAGGGTTTTCTTTTTCTTCTCTTATAGTGATAGTGATTTTTTTATTCCCCATATTACATATAGGTACAACAAACGTAAAAGGCATGTTACATTAAAATAAAAAAAAGAGAATATGTATTAAGAAAAATATAAAAATACAAGTGTAAATAGTCTAAACCAGTCAAAATTTTGGACAGTTTGTCATTAATTTTTTCTTTTAAACAATAAATTTCGTCTTCTTTCTGCTGCAATAAATTTTAGTAGTACTTTTTTATAAAATTAATCACCGAAATGGAGGCGGGTGGGTGGGCGGGGTTTAGAATAAGTTCTTCTGCAGAGTGGGAGTGGTAAGTAACTGATCGAAACTAGGGTCTTAAAAAGAACGGTTATCGTAACTTTTTTCTTGTACTATTTGTTATAAGATTATTTCTTATTTCATAAGAAAAAAAAAATGAGGAGACGGGTGGGCGGGCGGGGCTAAGTTTAATTTTTTCCGCGAGAGTCTTTTACACGTTTTTGTTTTTTTTTGCGATGTTTTTTTTTCTATTCTTTCTTCTTGTTTTTTTTTATATAATTGTGGCTATCAACCTTGCTATCGGTTCCTTTTTGTCCTTCAGCATTTGGAATTCTATGTTCAGCGGTGTCTTTGTCTCCACAGTAAGTACATTCATCGTTTTGGCCAATTTCATTCGTTTCAAATGCCCTGTTAGGAATAGGGTTAGATAGTAATGTGTTTGTCCATAAGTCGGTAAGTCCAGGCTTAACCTGGCGTGACTTGGTTTGCCTCAACTAATTTGACTTGGTTTGAGCTGGCCTAACCTGGCTCAACCTGACTTGACTTCACCTTACTTTACTTCATCTGTCCTAACCTGACTAGATCTGACCTGACCTGATTTGATCTGACATAACCTGCGGGACCTAACTTGTTCTGACCTGACTTCACGTGACCTGACTTGGTTTGAATCTGGCCTAAGCTGGCCTGACCTGATTTGACTTGCTTTGACTTTACTTTGCCTGTCCTCACCTGACTAGATCTGATCCTGAACAACGAACAACAGACTTATTAGTTATTTTAACAAGAAAATTCAAATACCACTCTTCAAAAATAGTGGAGCTGGGAATTTTTAAATTTAACCACGCAACTTTTGTGTATTGAAAATAACCTGGTCCAAACTGACTTGACCTGACTTCACTTCACTTGACTTTACATAAACTGACCTGAGTTTACCTGACCTGAATCACAAAGAATGGACCTCAATGATATATAGTGTTTTTAACAACTTTATTTCTCGTTTGCAGTTCAACTTGGTATTAATTTTGCCTTGGTGGACAGTAATTCGTCAGCAATTAAACTCTTCCTCGTCATGCAAGCCAATACAAAGTTTTAATGAGAAAAATTCCCAAAACCAAAAAGTGCGGGCCAGTTGAAGTGGAGCGTAATTCCCGTGGCAGCTTCAAAGTTCTGTGTATTTTTGTTCGCTAAAAAAAATGCGTTATTCCGAGTAACGGTAAGTCCGATATTTCCAAAGTTGCGAGCCGTGGACCCGACCTCAAGGCTATCGCTTCTGGCGGTGCAAAAAGAAAGTCGCGGTCCCAAAACACCAGAGTGCTCCTATTAATTGCCCAGCAGTGGAACCAGCGTCAGCAGGTGTATTCTATCGTTCCTTACAACGCGATTATTATTTTTAACGATCATTATAAATGTAAACAGCAGTTTTATGTTTGTTTGGAATAGATAGAGCTGTAAAATCCATGAATATATAGTTTTTTCCCCAGTGTCATTGACAGTAAAAGTTGTACGGCAACAACGCCGGCCAGAAAAAAAGCCGAGCATGAACAATGAATTCCACGTTTTTCTCGTCTCTTTGCACTTTAGCTTTTTCGAAACGCTGAATTGCGAAATTCCTGATCAATTTGTGCAGAATGCAGATACCGTTGATTTAAGGCACACCATGTGGAGTGCATGAATGGGTTTTTGTTTCGTTAAATAACATCCACACGTTTCCATACCTGCCCACAATAAGATAAACAATAAATTACCAACAGCATATCGCAATAATCACGAAATAAACCAACACTACATAAATTAAAGGAGGTGGAAAGCGCACCTAATCTATAATTAATAAATTCAATGAGGTTGAGGCACGGAAAGCAGCGAGTATCCACGCTCGAAAAGGCTCAAAAATCATCAATCATGGGCGAAAATCCGCGGCTGGAATGTCACTGGCCACGGGGACCATAAACCATGGGTATCGCCGTCGACCATCGAAACTTGTAATTGAGGCCCATAAAGTACCTTATCGGAGATTTTTTCGTGGAACCACCGCGGAGCGCCTCTTTGTTATTGGCGAACGGTTTGCGCCGTCGTGTTGCCCTTCGCACTCGGATTTATGATGGCCAGATAATCGCCAACATCTGTAATTTGCCCACATACGAGAAAGCCGATAGAGATTTTTGATTTCGGACGGCGAGATTTCTGGAATGCTTCAGGGGTCACCGCTGCTCCTCGCGTATTGTCAATTTACGACAACGATCCCTACTTACTAGTTTTAACAATAATAACCATGTAGACACATTTAACACAAATAACTGCGAAACCACCAAGCGTGCCCTTCCTGGAAGGCAACAAATCGGCGCTTTATTCCTAGAAGTATTACGTTCTGAGAAAATTCGTTGGCACTGAGACAATAGCAATGATTCATGATGCTGCTTTCTGTTTTTGCAGCGCTGCATTATCCTGACATTTAATAATCTTTTCGAACATCTGGTGTCTGTTGCGCTATCACCAGACCACAGTCCATCACGCCACGGCAAAAACGACGCTCCAACTGCTGGCTGCATGGCATTTTTATCAAATGTATGTAGATTTAGAGTCACGCGACTTCGTTTTATTTGACTAACAAGTAAATTATTTAAATGCGTGGCGATTTTTTGCCGCTCGGAACACCCACAGATGGTGACGTGTTTAAAATTTCGGGTTTTTTTTTGGCGAAAAAACGAATTATTAATGAAAAACGGTTGGCGACTGGAGGATAAAAAAGTACGTTACACGTGTTTAGAATGTGTGGAGGTACAACAGTTGTCCTTAACGAAGTTTGGGTTTACGTTTAGAGTACATAAATTATGGTAGTTCCTAAAATGGTAGTACTGAATTTTTTGCACCGCTGACAATGTTTTTAGCCAAAAATGCTTAAACAGCATTTTTTTCATTTGGTGTTATGTGATGATATATTTTTTATTTTAATTACAGGGAAACGGACATACAGAACACCCAGAGGCAGGGCGAAAATCGAACCCACCACCCAAGATATAGCCCGCAAGCACGAGGTTAACTAACCCACCGGGGTCCTCTGAAGATAGCTAGGTAAATAAAATAGGTATCAGGCTCAGCTTCTTTTTTTTATTTATTTATAAAACCACTGGAGCTCAATGATCTTTTAAATTATTTCATCAACAAAACACCAAAAGTGCTCAAACTACTTTTAAATTTTTCTAAAAAGAAGATACCAGGGTTCGATGATTTTTTTCAAATTCTGCCAAAAATAAAACACCGACCAAGTCAGGTCAAGTCGTGTAAAGCAAGTCGTGTCAGGTCTCAAGACTCTTTCAAATTGTCCCAAAAACAGAAAAATAGGTCCTCAAAATTTTAATATTTTGTTCAAAATCAAAACACCAGGTGCTGTTGAGATTCTTTGAATTATTTTAAAAATAAAACGACCAGGGTCTCTAAGATTTTCAAATTCTTTAAAAAATAAAACACCTGGACCTGTAACAATCAATTTTTTCAAAAATAAGACATTAGGAGACCCCAAAACAGTTTAATACTATTTCAAAGTAAAACGACTGGGGTTCGTGTTTTTTTTTTTAAATTAAAAATATTCCAAAAAGAAAATGTCGAAGATCCCAAGATTCTTTCAAACTATTTCAAAAAAACACGAAAGTAGCTAAGTAGCCCAAGATTCTTTTAAATTCTTCCAGAAACAAAACTCAATCCCTCAAGATTCTTTCAAATAGTCTCAAAACCGGAAAAACAGGGTTCTTTAAAATTCTTTCAAATTTTTCCAAAAACCAAACACCAAATACCCTTGAGATTTATGAAATACCGGGACCTCGCAAATTATATGTATATCAAAATAAAACCATCTGTGTTCCTGGGATTCTTTTTTTTTTCAACAATAAAACAAGGAAGTGTAAGATTCTTTTAAATTATTCCATATAGAAATCACCAGAACTTCCCAAAAATTCTTTCGAATTTTCGCAAAAGAAGACACTAGGGTTCCCATATTTTTTTTCAAATTCTCTCAAAAATAAAACACCAGTCTCCTTCAAGATCCATTCAAATTGTCCAAAGACAAAAGAACAATGTCCTCAAGATTCTTCCAAATTTTTCTAAAAATAAAACACCAGGGGTCTCTGAGATTCCCCAAAATTATTTCAAAATAAAACGACCAGGGTCCCTGAGATATTTTATTATTATTTTTTTTTTTTTAATAAAATAATTTCGGTCCATGGGATTCTTCTTTTTTAATAAAACAACAAGGAAACCCAAAATTATTTTAAATTCTTCCATGAACAAAACACCAGAGGTTCCCAAAAAGTGCCATTCATTATCTTATTTCAAAAATAAAATACCAGGGATCTCTGGGATTTTTTTTTAAAGCAACCTCCACGGGAGCCCAAGATTCTTTGAAATTCTTGCAAAAATAAAACACCAAGGGACACCAAAATTCTTTCAAATTATTGTTAAAATAAAACCACCTCTATTCCTGAGATTTTTTTTTGTTTCAATCATAAAACGCCAAAGGAGTCTAAGATTCTTTTAAATTATTCCATTAGCAAAGCACCAGAAGTCCCCAAAAATCTTTCAAATTTTCTCAAAAGAAAACACCAGGGTTGGCCATGATTTTTTTCAAATTCTAACAAAAATAAAACACCAGAATCCTTCAAGATTCTTCCAAATTTTTCTAAAAATAAAACACCAGGGGTCTCTGAAATTCCCCAAATTTATTTTAAAATAATTTCGGTCCATGGGATTCTTTTTTTTTTTAATAAAACAACAAGAAAACCCAAAATTATTTTAATTTCTTCCATAAACAAAACACCAGAGGTTCCCAAAAAGTGCCATTCATTATCTTATTTCAAAAATAAAATACCAGGGATCTCTGGTATTTTTTTTTAAAGCAACCTCCACAGGAGCCCAAGATTCTTTCAAATTCTTGCAAAAATAAAACACCAAGGGACACCAAAATCCTTTCAAATTATTGTTAAAATAAAACCACCTCTATTCCTGAGATTTTTTTTGTTTCAATCATAAAACACCAATGGAGTCTAAGATTCTTTTAAATTATTCCATTAGCAAAGCACCAGAAGTCCCCAAAATTCTTTCAAATTTTCTCAAAAGAAAACACCAGGGTTGGCCATGATTTTTTTCAAATTCTAACAAAAATAAAACACCAGAATCCTTCAAGATTCTTCCAAATTTTTCTAAAAATAAAACACCAGGGGTCTCTGAAATTCCCCAAATTTATTTTAAAATGATTTCGGTCCATGGGATTCTTTTTTTTAATAAAACAACAAGAAAACCCAAAATTATTTTAAATTCTTCCATAAACAAAACACCAGAGGTTCCCAAAAAGTGCCATTCATTATCTTATTTCAAAAATAAAATACCAGGGATGTCTGGGATTTTTTTTAAAGCAACCTCCACGGGAGCCCAAGATTCTTTCAAATTATTGTTAAAATAAAACCACCTCTATTCTTGAGATTTTTTTTGTTTCAATCATAGAACACCAATGGAGTCTAAGATTCTTTTAAATTATTCCATTAGCAAAGCACCAGAAGTCCCCAAAATTCTTTCAAATTTTCTCAAAGGAATATACCAGGGTTCCCATGATTTTTTTTCAAATTCTCCCAAAAGTAAAACACCAGTCAAGTCAGGTCAAGTCTCAAGATTCTTTAAAATTGTCCCAAAAACAGGAAAATAGGTTCTTCAAAATTTTCCAAACAAAAACGTCACAATTTCTCAAGATTTTTAATACTTTGCTCAAAACACCTGGTGCCACTGAGATTCATTGAATTATTTAAAAAAAATAAAACGACCAGGGATCCTGAGATTTTCAAATTCGTACTCCAAATTTTTTTAAATAAAACACTATGTGGTCCGTGTTTTTTTTTTAATTAAAACATCAGGGGATTCCAAAATTCTTTCAAATTATTCGAAAAACAAAACATCAAATTATTTCAGAACAAAAACAGCGAGGTCCCTGGGATTTTTTTTTTTTTTTTCAAAAATGAAAGACTATAATAGTCCAAGATTCTTTCAAATTTTTCCAAATACAAAACACGATGCCCTTGAAATTCTTTAAATTTTGTAAATAATGATTTTTTTTTTTTTAAATAAAACAACTGGGGTCCATGAGATTTTTTTTTAATAAAGCATCAAGTTTCTTTCAAATGCTTGGTGCCTTTGAGATACTTTAAATTTCTCAGGTTCTCTAGGAGTTTTTTTCAAATTCCTTCAAAAACAAAACACTAGAATCGTGGAAGTTGAAAAAAAATTTAATACGACATTTATAAAAAATCCATTAAACCATAGCCAAATAAACACTAGAGCAGATGTTGAAAATTCCCGCCTTGTGCATATAAGGAAGCTCGTAAGCTCGTAAGTTTCCAAATTTTGATCATTTTTTGTAAAAGTAAGCTAAGTTTATTTTTTTCTATACTTATGAGCAAACAGTAGCCCCGCCCACCCACCCCTTCATCATTCCAGTGACTAATCTTAATATTGTTCAGTTCTATCTTAGCAAGTTTTAGGCCCGCCCACCCGCCCTCTATTTTCTTCAAAGGTATATGATTTGCCACAATCAGTCTTATCTTATCGAATATTGCGCCACCCACCCACTCTTAGTAAGTACTAGCCAAGAAAAAAATGATTTTGGCAAATGGCATACCCCTTAAGAAAAGAGAGGGTGGGTGGGCGGGGCTAGTACTTGCTAAGATAAAACTGACTTTGGCAAATGACATATCGTCTAAAAAAGAAGAGGGTGGGTGGGCGGGGCTAGTACCTGCTAAGATAGGAGTGATTTTGGCAAATGAGATATGACTTAAATAACGTATCCTAAGAAATTCAATTAAACTATTATAAGAAAAAACACTAGAGGCTCCAAGAGTTACTCTTGAGATTCATTATATTGTTTTAAAAATAAGTTATCAGGGGTCCCCGAGATTCTTCAAAATTATTTCAAAATAAAACGACCAGGGTCCCTGAGATTCTTTTTTTTTTTCAAAAATAAAATAATTTGGGTCCATGGGATTTTCTTTTAATAAGAACAAGGAAACCTAAGATTATTTTAAATTCTTCTATAAACAAAACACCAGAGGTCTCCAAAAAAGTGTCATTCATTATCTTATTTCAAAAATAAAATACCAGGGATCTCTAGGATTTTTTTTAAAGAAACATCCACGGGAGCCCAAGATTCTTTCAAATTCTTCCAAAAATAAAACACCAAGGGACACCAAGATTCTTTCAAATTATTATTAAAATAAAACCACCTCTAACCCTGAGATTTTTTTGTTTCAGTCATAAAACACCAATGGAGTCCAAGATCCTTTTAAATTATTGCTTTAGCAAAGTACCAGAAGTCCCCAAAATTCTTTCAAATTTTCTCAAAGGAAGACACCAGAGTTCCCATGAATTTTTTTCAAATTCTCGCAAAAGTAAAACACCAGTCAAGTCAGGTCAAGTCTCAAGATTCTTTAAAATTGTCTCAAAAACAGAAAAATAGGTTCTTCAAAATTGTTCAAACGAAAACATCACAATTTCTCAAGATTTTTAATACTTTGCTCAAAACACCTGATACCATTGAGATTCATTGAATTATTAAAAAAAAAATAAAACTCAGGGGACCCCAAGATTCGTTAATAACACTTTTTGAAAATAAAACGACTAGGGATCTTGAGATTTTCAAATTCTCAAAAAATTGGGACACCGGGACCTGTAACACTTTGACACTTATTATTTCAGAGAAAAACGACTGTGGTCCGTGTTTTTTTTTTTTGTAACTAGAACATCAGGGGATTCCAAAATTCTTTCAAATTATTCAAAAAACAAAATATCAAATTATTTCAGAACAAGAACACCGAGGTCCCTGGGATTTTTTTTTTTTTTTCAAAAATGAAGACTAATAGTCCAAGATTCTTTCCAATTTTTCCAAAAACAAACACGATGCCCTTGAAATTGTTTAAATATTGTAAATAATGTTTTTTTTTTCAAAAATAATACGACTGAGGTCCATGGGATTTTTTTTTAATTAAAGCATCAATGGAGCCCAAGTTTCTTTCAAATGTTTAGTGCCTTTGAGATAC